CCACCCCCAATGTATAAGTGGATTAGTTTATTTGCATCTGTATTTCCACTCTTTACTTTGTTCTTTGTTTTTGATGCTCTAGAATTTTTTCCATAATACATTTTTTGTTTAAAGATTTTCCTTTAGCCATTTTGCAGCACAGTTCAATAGTGACAAATATTTTTGGTTTCCTTTGGCCTGTAAATATCTTTATTTTTACTTCATTAGTAAAGGATAGTTTCATTGAATATGGCATATGAAGTTGGGAATCTATTCTTATAGCATTTGAAAAATATTTTCCTTGTAGAAATGGACATTCCACAAAGCAACCTTCATGAGAATGTTCAGATGATGAATAGCCCACCATTATTGGAAAATAACAACAACGGTCAAGATATTCCACATGTCTCCATCCTTTCTGATGTTGGTGAGGTTGAAATGATGAACAACACTGTTTAACATACATTAGTTAATACTATTAATGTTTGCTAGTGGTTAATTTTCCTAATTAAAATCAATGAAAATAATTAAAATCAAATGGTTTATTTTAGGAAATTTTAGCTGCACATGCAATTGTAAGACATGATACAAAGAGATCTTGTGTATAGTTGACTCATTTGCTCCAATGATAACATCTTGCAAAACAATGACACAACCCACTTCTAGGAATATATCCCAAGAAACTAGAAGCAAATATATATAAATATATAAATATATCCGGGAAATTGCTTTCCCATTTTCCATTTTCATCTGCAATGTATGAGTGAACTTGTGTCTCTGTGTCCATATTTGTTTTCTTTCATTTGTTCTTTGTCCTTCTTGATGCTCAAGAGTTTTATCTATCTTATTTTTTGTGTTGAAGATTTTCCTTTAGTCATTCTAAAACATGAATCAATTAGTGACAAATACTTTCAGTTTTCTTTTGTTTATAAATATATTTATTTTGGCTTCATTACTGAAGGATAGTGTCATTGGATATAGAATATGAGGTAGGGAGTCTTTTCTTACAGCATTTGAAAATTATTTTCCTTGTAGAAATGAGCATTCCACAGAACAACCCTCAAGAGAATGTTCAGATGATGAATAGCCCACCATTATTTGAAAATAACAACAACGGTCAAGATATTCCACATGTCTCCATCCTTTCTGATGTTGGTGAGGTTGAAATGATGAACAAAACTTTTAATATACATTAATTAACACTATTAATGTTTACTAGTGGTAAATTTTCCTAGTTAAAAATCAATAAAAATATTAATTAAAATTAAATGGATTATTTTGGGACATTTTAGCTGCACATGCAATTGTAAGACATGATACAAAAAGATCTTATGTATAGTTGACTCATTTGCTCCAATGATAACATCTTACAAAACTGTAGTACAATGTCACAACCTACTTCTAGGAATATATCCCAAGAAACTAGAAGCAACCATATGTGTGTGTGTGTGTGTGTGTGTGTGTGTGTGTGTGTGTGTGTGAATATCTGAGAAATTGCTTTCCAGTGTGGCTTTCCCATTTTCCATTTTCATCTGCAATGTATGAATGGACCTGTGTCTCTAAGTCCATATTTGTTTTCTTTCATTTGTTCTTTGTCCTTCTTGATGCTCAAGATTTTATCTATGTTATTTTTTTGTGTTGAAGATTTTCCTTTAGGCATCCTAAAACATGAATCAGTTAGTGACAAATACTTTCAGTTTTCTTTTGTTTGTAAATATATTTATTTTGGCTTTATTACTGAAGGATAGTGTCATTGTATGTAGAATATGAAGTAGGGAGTCATTTCTTACAGCACTTGAAAAATATTTTCCTTATAGAAGGGGACAAAGCACAGACCAACCTGGAACAAAACTCTCAGATGAGGAATAACCCACTGTTCTCAGGAAATAACTGTTGTGGTCAAAATATTTCACGTGTCCTCATCCTTTCTGATGTTGGTGAGTTTTAAATGATATATATTCCAAATATCACTGTTTAATGTAGATTAATTAATACTCTTAATGTGAGTTAAAGGTAGCTTTACCTAATTAAAAAATCAGTTAAAATTAACTAATTAAAAGGTTTTATTTTGAGTAAATTTTAATTGCACATGCAATTGTAAGAAACAATACAGAGAGATCTTGTGTACAGTTGATCCAGTTTCCCCCAATGATAACAGCTTGCAAAACTATAGCACAATACCACAACAAGGATGTTAACATTGATGCAATCTACAAATTGTCTTTGGATTTCTCTTTTTTAATTGGATTGATTTGTGTGTATGTGTTGAGTTGTGTTTGATTTTGTCACATCAGTAGGTTTGATTTCCACCACCACAGTCAAGATACAGAACATTTCTATTCCAATATGATATGTCTTCTTGACCTTTTACAACCACATCTTCCTTAGCCTAAGATCCTGAATATTTATCTGATTTGTAGCATGCATCAATAGTTCCTTGTTTTTATTGTTGAGAACTATTCCATGGTATGGATGTACCACAGTTTGTGTGTTGTTTCACTGTTGAAAAACATCTGCATTTTTACCAGTGTTCAGTATTTCATCTAAAACTGTGATGACCATTCCAGTACATGTTTTGTGTGGACCCAAGTTTTGATTTTTCATAGATAAATACTCAAGAGTACAGTTGCTTGATGGTATAGTAAAAACATGTGTAGTGTTATAAGAAACTGCTAACATTTTGTTGTCAAGACTGTACCATGTTACTTTCCTGCCAGTGATGGGTGACTCAAGACAGTTTCTAAATATCCATGTTCCTCCTTTTCTTATTTTTTCTTAGTCTATGATTTGTTCTTTCATCATTCTTTTCTGATAGGAAATATTTCTCTAGCCTTCCTCAAGTGGAAACTACCTAGTGATATATGTATGTATGTATGTATATACATATCTATCTATCTATCTATCTATCTATCTATCTATCTATCTATCTTTCTGTTGTGGGAGGTCATTATTTCATGTTTTTTTTTCTTTTTTAGAAATGAATCTTAATTTATTTTGTAAGATTTTTTGAGATATAATTGACAAATAAAATTTTAATGTATATAGAGAATAATGTGATGAATTGATACACACTTACATTGTGAAAGGCTTCTCACCACCCAGTTACTGGTCAATAACACAGTCATCATTTCTCCTGTTAACCTCTTTATGCTTTGTGGTGAAATTGATGAAGTTTTATTTTCTATAAAACTTTAAATTATGCAATATTGTCATCTATAGTCACCATGTATATACATCCTCAGCTGTTAGTTCACTTTTTTACTGATAGTTTATACCCCTTTACCATCCTTTCCCTATTTTTCCCACATTTCCACCCCAGGTAGCCACATTCTACTCTGTGTTTCTATTGGTTTGAATTTTTTTTTTCTTTACAGATACCACATATGTGATATCATACAGTATTTGTCTTTCCTTGTCTAACTTGTCTCTAGCAAACACACTACAGGTCCACCCATGTTGCCAGGATCTGCTTGGTCTTTGAGTGTTAGTTTCACCTGGTATGGAATTCATGATTGACATTTCTTGTCATTCCATACCTGAAAGTATTTTTCATATAGAAACATTGATAGAAGTTCAAACCAACTTTGCAAAGAGTCCCGAGACAACAAATGATCAGTTGTCTTGAAAAAGGACACTAGCTAACCAATTCCTCAGTTTGTTGCTATATTCATACCAGTTTTGTAGGATTTGAAATGATGATAGGTAGCACCTTTAATCTAGATTTATCAACATTCTTAGTGAGGAAGATAGTGGCAGAATTTTCTAAATAAAGTTTTCACTTTTAGATATATTTAGCAGCATTTGCAGTTGTAAGAAATGATACAAAAACATTCTGTGTCCCCATACACAAATTAGCCCAATGATATGAACTTGCAAAATGGTAAAAATTTATCACTATTTAGTTAAATGACCTAACACCCTCCAAATAGTATTGAGATGTCCCCAGTTTCACGTCTGTTAATGTGGGTGTTCACCTCTATACAATTTTATCACACATCCTCTATCATAGTGAAGCCCTCAAACAGTGTGATCACCACCATGACTGCTAAAATGCTATTTTATAAGCACACACACCTCCCTCAGGTTGACATTTTCATTCCCAATTCCCTTCCCCTGTCTGCATTCAGCTGCTCATTTTTTTCTAGTTGCTCTAAAGAATAAATCTATTCCCCAGATCTATAATTTTCCCCTTCAACGTTGTTGTATAAATGGAATCCTAGGGTACTGAGATTGGCTTCTTTCCTTCAGGGCAATTTCCTAGAAACTCACTCTTGTCCTTGTGTGTATCACTTATTCCTTATTTTTTTTTTATTGCAAAGTAGTGTTTCATGGTATTTATGTCCATGATATAGTTATTGTTCATATTTTAAAATTTTTGGAGGTTCCTCTGGGAATGAGTAAAGCTACTAATAACACTTGTTCACCTGGATATTTATCTGACTTGTGGCATACATCAGTAGTTCCTTCTTTTTTGTTGAGGAGACACCATGGTATGGACATACTACTCTTTCGTGTATTGGTTCACTATTAAATAAAATCTGAATTTTAAAATCTTGCTTCATTTCACTCTTTCTCACAGTTTACATTTCTTTGAGTGGAATTCCCAAGAGTGCAATTTCTGGTCTTTTGGTAATTGGGTCCTTAGTTTGGGATAAGAAAGTAACAAACTGCTTTCTAGTGTGGTTTTGCCATTTTCCATTCCCTCCTGTAATATATGAGTGGATGCAGTTTGTCTGCATCTATATTCGTGTTCTTTCCCTTGTTCTTTGTCCTTCTAGATGCTTGAGAGTTTTTTTCAATGTATCTTCTCTGTTTGTGGATTTTCTTTTAGCTATGCTAAAACATGAATTGATGACAAATACTTCTTTTGTGTATAAATATCTTTATTTTCACTTCATTACTGAAGTATTGTTTTATTGAATCTAGAATATGAGTTTGGGAGCTCTTTCCTATAGCATTTGAAATATGTTTCCCTTATAGGAAGGGACAGAGTGCTGACCAGCCAGGAACAAAACTCTCAGATGATGAATAACCCACCATTCTTGGGAAATAACTTTTGTGATCAAAATATTTCACGTGTCCTCATCCTTTCTGATGTTGGTGAGTTTGTAATGATACATATTCCAAATATCACTGTTAAATGTAGATTTATTAATAACCTTAATATGAGCTAGAGGTAGATTTTCCTACTTAAAAAATCAAGTTAAAATGACTTAATTAAAAAGTAAAAGTTTTATTTTGAGTACATTTTAACTGCACATGCAATTGTAAGAGACAATACAGAGACATCTTAAGTATAGTTGATCTAATTTCCCCCAATGATAGCATCTTGCTGAACTATCACAACACCTCAACCAGGATATTGACAGTGATGCAATCACAGACTTTTTGAGATCTCTCTTGTTTAATTACATTGTTTTGTGCCTATGTGTTTAGCTCTGTTTGATTTTGTCACATGAGTAGCTTTGATTTCCACCACCACACTCAAGATATGGAACATTTCCATTCCCACTCAAATATATCACTTTACCTTTTAACAACTACTCCTGCCTCAGCCTAAGTCCCATGATATGCAGTTGACTTGTGTCATGCACCGGTTCTTCCTTCTTATTTGTTGTTGAGGACTTTCCCATGGTATATGGATGTACCACGCTTTGTATAGTGGTTCACTGTTGAAGAACATCTGGAACGTTTCCAGTTTTCAGTATTGCAGGTACATTTTTGATGACCCTTCATGTAGCAGTTTTTGTGTAAATGTAAGTTTGGATTTCCCAAGAGTTCAGATACTTAGTTGCATGGTAATGGCATGTTTAGAAACTGCAAACAGTTTTCCAGAGAGTCTGTGCCCTTTTACTGTTCTGCTAGCAATCTCTGAGTTAGCCAGTTTCTAGACCTCCATGTTCCTGATGCTTTCATTATTCTTTCTTCCCCTTGGATTCTCCCAGATTTCTTCTTTCACCATTCTTTTCTGATAGAAGGTATTTCCCTGACCATTCTCAAGTGTAAAATGCCAATTGAGATATTTATTTTTTAAAATATATTTTATTTATTTTTTACAGAGAGGAAGAGAGAGGGATAGAGAGTTAGAAACATCGATGAGAGAGAATCATAGATCAGCTGCCTCTTGTACACCCCTACTGGGGATGTGCCCACAACCAAGGTACATGCCCTTGACCTGAATCGAACCCGGGACCTTTCAGTCCGCAGGCTGACGCTCTATCTACTGAGCCAAACCGGTTTAGGCTCAATCAAATATTTAGCTTTCCTTCATGTGAGAATGTACTTATTTCATCTTTATTCTTTGAAACACTAATTTTTAGCTTTATTGAGGTATAATTGAAAAATAAAATTGTAATATATTCATATTGAACAATGTGTTGTTTAGAAACACACAGACAATTGAAAGGATTCTTAATGGAATTAATTAGCACATCCATCATTTACCTCTTTATGTTTTGTTGTGAGAATGCTGAGGTTGAACTTTCTAATCACATTGCAATTACATAATACAGCATTATCAACTATAGTCACCATGTTATATATCCCCTGACATTACTTCACCTTTTAACTGATAGTTTGTACCCCATTACCAGCATCTCTCTATTTTTCTCACTTCCCAGTTGCTTGCAGACATGGTTCTACTCTGTGATTTTATGAATTTGACTTTTTTTTAGATTCCACATATGTGATAGAACACAGTACTAGTCTTTCTATGGCTGGCTTATCTCACTTAACATAATGCTCTCAAATCTATTCATTTTACTCCAAATTTGCTTTGCGTTTGAATGACAGTTTCACATCTTATGGAATTTATGGTTGAGATTTTTTGTCTTTCCATACCTGAAAGTATCTATCTATCTATATCTATATCTATATCTATATCTATATCTATATCTATATCTATATCTATATCTATATATAAAAGTCTAAGTGACTGGCTGACAGGCTGACCAACCTACCAGTCAGTAGTTATGATACATACTGACCACCAGGGGGCAAATGGTCAATACAGGGGCTGCTGAGCTGTGGGAACTTGGCAGGAATAGGTCTCTGGTGATGCACCCAGAACCATTGAGGAGGGAGCCTGATTCCAGTGTGTATCACCCCAAAAATGCCCTCTCATAATCTGGGACCCTTCGGGGGTTGTCAGCCAGTTTCAGCCAGGCCCAGGGACCCTACTAGTGCATGAATCCATGCACTGGGACTCTAGTTTTATTCATAAAATGTTGGTAGGAGCTCAAACAAGCTTGACAAAGAGACGTGAAACAACAAATGATCTAGTTGCCTTGGGAAACTACACTAGCATAACAATTCCTTAGTATGTTGCTCTATTTATACCATTTTTGCAGGTTTTGAAATTATACTTATGACGGGTAGTACCTTTCCTATAGATTTATCAACATTCTTAGTGTAAAGATTGTGCCAATATTTTCTAATTAAAGTTTTTATTTTCAGATATATTTATCTGAAATAGCATCTTCAGTTGTAAGAAATGATACAGAGAATTTCTTTTTTAAAAAAATATATTTTATTGATTTTGTACAGAGAGGAAGGAAGAGAGATAGAGAGCCAGAAACATCAATGAGTGAGAGTCATTGCCCAGCTGCCTCTTGCACACCCCCCACCGGGGATATGCCCGCAACCAAGGTACATGCCCTTGACCCAAATCGAACCCAGGTCCCTTCAGTCCCCAAGCCGACGCTCTATCCATTGAGCCAAATCAGTTTCAGTGATACAGAGAATTTCTATGTTCCCACTACCCAAATTTCCCCAATGCAATCAACTTGCAAAGTGATAGAAATGTACCACTATTATGTTAAATGACCTGATATCCTCCAGATATTATTTAGATGTTTCTAGTTTCACTTCTGTTATTGTGAGTGTTTATTTATATACAATTTTATCACTTATCCTCAACCACAGGCAAGTCCCCAAATAGTCTTATCACTATCATGACCCTTCATATTGCTGTTTTGTAAGCATACCATGTTCCTTCCAGTTGACACTGCTCCCATTACCATCTCCTCCCATCTCTCTAGTGGCTGGCAACAACAAATATGTTTCCCAGATTTATAATTTTTCCTTTTTGTATTTTTATATAAATGGAACTCTGTGGTACTTGAGATTGACTTCATTCCCTCAGTATAATTTCCTAGAAAGTCGCTCATGTCCTAGTGTGTATCACTTACTCCTTTTAAAAAAAAATCACTGAGTAGTATTCCATGGTATGGATATTCCATAGTATATTTACCTATTCACCTTTCCAAAACTTCTGGGTTTCCTCTTTATTAGGGTAAAGCTGCTAGTAACACTTATTCGTATGGATATCCATCTGACTTGTGGTAGCATCCATAGTTCCTTCTATTTTGTTGAGGATGTACTATCATTTGGTTGCACCACTCTGTATATTGGTTCACTATTAAAGAAAATCTGGATTTTTAAATCTTGCATCATTTCATTCATTTCACTCTTTCACCAAGTTTTCATTTCTCTGAGTTGAATGCCCTAGAGTGCAATTTCTGGTCCTTTGGTGGTTGTATCCTTAGTTTCGGATAAGAAACTGACAAACTGTTTTCCAGTGTAGCTTTACCATTTTCCATTCCCATCTGCAATGTATGAGTGGACCAGTTTGTATCAATATTTGTCTTTTTTCCTTTGTTCTTTGTCTTTCTTGAGCTAGAGTGTTTTTCTATTATATCGTTTCTGTTTGGAGATTTCCCTTTAGCTATTCCCAAACAGGAATTAGTCAGTGACAAATACTTTTCCTTATGTCTACAAATATATTTAATTTGGCTTCATGACTGAAAGATAGTGCCATTGGTTATATTGATAGAATATGAGTTAGGGAGTTTTTTCTTACAGTATTTGAAAAATATTTTCCTTATAGAAGGGGACAATGCACAGAAGAACCAGGAAGAAAATAATCAGATAATGAATAACACAGATGTCTTGGGGAATAACAATGGTACTCAAGATATTCCACGTGTCCTTATCTTTTCTGATGTTGGTGAGTATGAAATGATACATATTACAAATATCACTGTTCAATGTAGATTTATTAGTACCCTTAAGTTGAGCTAGCTTTTCTTAATTAAAAAAATCAAGTTAAAATGAACTAATTAAAAATATAAGTTTTATTTTGAGTAAATTTTAACTGCACATGCAATTGTAAGAAACAATACAGAGAGATCTTGTGTACAGTTGATCCAGTTTCCCCCAATAATAACAGCTTGCAAAACTATAGCACAGTACCACAACAAATATGTTAACATTGATGCAACCTACAAATTGTCTTAGGATTTCCCCATTTTAATTGGATTTATTTATGTGTATGTGTTGAGTTGTGTTTGATTTTGTCACATGAGTAGGTTTGTTTTCCACTACCACTGTCAAGATAGAGAACATTTCTATTCCCATATGAATATGTCTTCTTGTCCTTTTATAACCACATCTTCTTTAGCCCAAGTCCCTGGATGTTCATCTGACTTGTGGCATGCATCAGTAGTTCCTTGTTTTTGTAGGAAATATTTCTCTAGCCATTCTAATGTGGAAACTACCTAGTAATATATGTATGTAAGTTTGTTTCTTTAAAAAAAATGAATCCTATTTTCTTTTGTCAGATTTCTTGAGATATAATTTACAAATAAAATTCTAATGTATATGGAGCATAATGTGATGATTTGATACACACATACATTGTGAAAGGATTCTCACCACCCAGTTATTGGTAAATAACACAGTCATAATTTCCCCTATTAACCTCTTTCTGTTTTGTGGTGAAAATGCTGAAGTTTTCCTTTCTACAAAACTTTCAATTATGCAATATTGTCAAGTATAGTCACCATGTATATAAATCCTCAGATGTTAGTTCTCCATTTTACTGATAGTTTATGCCCCTTTACCAGCCTTTGCCTGTTTTCCTCACATCCCCACCCCAGGTAGCCACCATTCAAATCTGCATTAATATTGGTATGATTTTTTTAAAAGAGATTCCACATATGTGATATCACACAGTATTTGTCTTTCCTTGTTGGGCTTGTCTCATTTAGCAAACACACTCCAGGTCCATCCATGTTGCCATGATCTGCTTGGTCTTTGAATGTTAGTTTCACATGGTATGGAATTCATGGTTGACATTTCTTGTCATTCCATACCTAAAAGTATTTTCCTTATAGAAATGTTGATAGAAGTTCATACCAGCTTTGCAAAGAGCCCTGAGACAACAAATGATTCAGTTGTCTTGAAAAAGTACACTAGCCTAACAATTCCTCAGAATGTTGCTATAGTCATACCAGTTTTGTAGGATTTCAAATGATGATAGGTAGCACCTTTAACCTAGATTTATCAACATTCTTATGAAAAAGATAGTGGCAGCATTTTCTAAATAAAGTTTTTATTTTCAGATATTTTTAGCAGCATCTGCAGTTGTATGAAATGATACTGAAAAAATTCCCCTTACACAAATTATCCAATGGTATGAACTTGCAAAATGGAGGAAATTTATCACTATTTAGTTAAATGATCTGACACCCTCCAAATATTATTCAGATGTCACCAGTTTCACGTCAGTTAATGTGGGTGTTTACTTCTATACAATTTTATCACATATCCTCTATCATAGGCATGCCCTCAAACAGTTTGATTGCCACCATGACCCCTAAAATGCTCTCTAATAAGCACACACACCTCCCTCAGGTTGACATTTTCATTTCCAATTCCCATCCCATGTCTGTCTTCAGTTCTTTTTTTTTATAGTTGCTATAAACAATAAATCTATTCCCCAGATCTATAATTTTTCCCTTCAACAATGTTGTAATTGAGATTGGCTTCTTTCTCAGTGCAATGTCCAAAAACTCACTCATGTCCTTGTGTGTATCATTTATTCCTTATTTTTATTTTTTATTGCAGAGAAGTACTTTATGGTATGGATGTTTCATGATAAAGTTATTGTCCACATTTTCAAAATATTGGGGGTTTCCTGTTTGGGTTCTTAGGGTAAAGCTACTAATAACACTTGTTCACCTGGATATTCATCTGAATTGTGGCGTGCATCAGTAGTTCCTTCTTTTTTGTTGAGGAGACACCATGGTGTGGATATACTACTCTTTTTTTGTATTGGTTCACTATTATATAAAATCTGAATTTTAAAATCTTGCTTTATTTCATTCATTTCACTCTTTCTCACAATTCTCTGAGTGGGATTTCCAAGAGTGTAATTTCCTTGGTGATTGTGTCCTTAGTTTGCTATAAGAAACTGACAAACTGCTTTCAAATGTGGCTTTACCATTTTCAATTCCCTCGTGTAATATATGAGTGGATGCCTTTTTTCTGCATCTATATTCGTGTTCTTTCCCTTGTTCTTGGTGCTTCTTGATGCTTGAGAGTTTTTTTCCCCTATAATATCTTTTCTGTTTGTGGATTTTCCTTTAGTTATGCTAAAACATGAATTGATGACAAATACTTCTTTTGTGTATAAATACCTTTATTTTGAATTCATTACTGAAGGATAGTTTTATTGAATTTAGAATATGAGTTTGGGAGCTCTTTCTTATAGCATTTGAAATGTGTTTCCCTTATAGGAAGGGACAGAGTGCTGACCAACCAGGAACAAAGCTCTCAGATGATGAATAACCCACCATTCTCAGGAAATAACTTTTGTGATCAAAATATTTCACGTGTTCTCATCCTTTCTGATGTTGGTGAGTTTGAAGTAATACATATTCCAAATATCACCGTTCAATGTAGATTTATTAGTACCCTTAAGTTGAGCTAGAGGTAGATTTTCCTAATTAAAAAATCAAGTTTAAATGAACTAATTGAAAAGTAAAAGTTTTATTTTGAGTACATTTTAACTGCACATGCAATTGTAAGAAACAATACAGAGAGATCTTGTCTACAGTTGATCCAGTTTCTCCCAATGATAACAGCTTGCCAACCTATAGCACAGTACCACAACAAGGATGTTAACATTGATGCAACCTACAAAATGTTTTAGGATTTCTCCATTTTAATTGGATTAATTTGTGTGTATGTGTTGAGTTGTGTTTGATTTTCTCACATGAGTGTTTGATTTCCACTACAACAGTGAATATACAGAACATTCCCTTATGGTTGTATCTTCTTGTCCTTTTATAACTACATCTTCCTTAGCCCAAGTCCCTGGATGTCCATCTGACTTGTGGCATGTATCAGTAGAACCTTGTTTTTATTGTTGAGGACCATTCCATGGTATGGATGTACCACAGTTTGTGTGTTGTTTCACTGTTGAAAAACATCTGGATTTGTTCCAGTGTTCAGTATTACAACTAAAGATGTGAGGATCATTCCAGTACATGTTTTGTGTAGACCTAAGTTTTGATTTTTCATAGATAAATACTCAAGAGTACAGATGCTTGATTGTATGGTAAAAACATGTTTAGTGTTATAAGAAACTGCTAACAGTTCGTTATTGAGACTGTACCATGTTACTTTCTTCCAATGATGGATGACTCAGAGTTTGTAGATATCCGAGTTCCTCCATTTCTTCTTCATTCTTAGTCTATGATTTGTTCTTTCATAATTCTTTTTGATAAGAAATATTTCTCTAGCCATCCTCAAGTGGAAACTATCTTGTTATATATGTATGTATGTATATACATACATATCTATATCTATCTATCTATCTATCATCTATCTTTCCATTGTGGGAAGTCATTATTTCATTTTTTATTTTCTTTTTTAGAAATGAATCCTAATTTTTTGACAGATTTCTTGAAATATAATAGACAAATAAAAATTTAATGTATATAGATCATAATGTGATGAATTGATACACACATACATTGTGAAAGGATTCTCACCACCCAGTTACTGGTAAATAACTCAGTCATCATTTCTGCTATTAACCATTTTATGTTTTGTTGTGAAGTTGCTGAAGTTTTACTTTCTATGAAACTTTCAATTATGAAATATTGTCAAGTATAGTCACCATGTACATACATCCTCAGATGTTAGTTCACTTTTTTACTGATAGTTTATACCCCTTTACCATCCTTTCCCTATTTTTCTCACATCCCCACCCCAAGTTAGCCACCATTCTACTCTGCGTTTCTATTGGTTTGAATCTTTTTATCTTTAGAGATTCCACATATGTGATATCATACAGTATTGTTCTTTCCTTGTCGGACTTGTCTCACTTAGCAAACACACTCCAAGTCCATCCATGTTGTCATGATGTGCTTGGTCTTTGAATGTTAGTTTCACCTGGTATGAAATTCATGGTTACATTTCTTGTCATTCCATACCTGAAAGTATTTTCCTTATAGAAATGTTGATAGGAGTTCAAACCAGCTTGGCAAAGAGCCCTGAGATAACAAATAATCCAGTTGTCTTGAAAGAGTACACTAGCTGACCAATACCTCAGTATGTTGCTATATTCATTCCAGTTTTGTATGAGGTCTAGTAATAATTAATGTCGTTTTCTAATACTTTTTAAAATCGAATTTATTTAAACAATACAACAAAATTTAATCAACAATATAGTTGCCGTTGTTTTCTACTACTTGTGACCAATGCTCAGGAAGCATTTTAATCCCTCTGTTGTAAAATTCTTGTGATTTTGATGCAAAAAATTCAGTCAATGCATTTTTGAGGCATTCTTCATTATTAAATTTTTTTCCAAGAAGAAAGTTTTGCAAAGAACGAAACAAATGGTAATCAGAAGGGGCAATATCAGGAGAATATGCAGGTTGAGGGAGAACTTCCCATTCCAACTGGCGCAGTTTTTCAGCAGCGATTCTTGCAGTATGCGGTCGTGCGTTATCGTGGTGAAGAATGACGCCCTTCCGATTAATCAGCGCGGGTTCTTTTTCTCTTAAAGCTTGGGCTAACCTTTCCAATTGGGCACTATACACTGCACTTGTAATGGTTTGGTTAGATGGTAAAAGTTCATAATGAAGAATTCCTTTAAAATTCCACCAAACACACAACATCACTTTTTTCGCATGCAAGTCAGGTTTTGGCGTGGGC